ACTTTCTGCCGGGGTGCTGCTCACTCCACGTGTGGGATGAGGACTGCTGGAGAATCCCCAGCTCTCAGGTGTGCACATCCTGAAAGTCCCAAGTCCTAGGAGTTAACACCCATGGAATAACCTTTGCTGATAAAGAATGGAGGTGGGTGGATAATTTTGAGGTGCAGCATCTGAGACTTTTCAGACAGTCCCTGCAGGATCAAGCCCAGGTGACCACTGTAACTACCAACAAGGAAACGCGTCCTGGCAATAGCTTTCCTACCTCCCTAGTCACTGTCCCAGAGGCCTGCTCCTATTCCTGACGCCACTTCCAAAACTATGCTACCTGCACGCAAGCCCTTGACTCTAACTCTGCTTTGGGAGAGGGCACAGGGAACCCATGCTGGTTTGCAAATTAAACTGATTGACATACACCCGGGAAGGTCAATATTCCATAAAATGTATCTCCAACTCGAATGATGACTATTTCTTGATTCTTCCATTAGAGGAGGAATACAGTGATTGTGGAAAAAGCCCTGAAAGAGGAGTGGTTTTCAGTTTAGCCATTAATTAGTTATGTGACCCAAGCTACACTATTTAACCTTTTGGAGCTCAGTACCTGATCTAGAAAATAAAGGAGATGAATTGGATTACATCATTTCTAACATCCCTTCTAGTCCCACCATTGTATATCTGTGAAATAAATGCATCTGGGTGACAGTCTATAGTGGCTGCTGTTCTCCTCATTAACCCTAGGGATTGTTTTGGCTAAAAATATGGCAACGCTTTAATGCAACTTTAAACAGGCAAGTGAATCAGCCTCCTGAAGGTCTAGATTAGGGAATGAGCAGCTATTCGGAACCTCAGAAGACAATAATGCTGACAAAAAGAGAACAAGCCGACTTCTTTGGGAGTCAGCAAACAGCAGGGGCTGCAGCGTTAAGATAAGAACAGAGTAATGAGAAAAGGAGTTGCAACCAACTTACTTGGCCGCATCCCAGCGGTCACTCAGTGATTCGACACGTCCCTAACAGGCCTTGATAAATGGACTCCAACTGTGAGATTTTTTTTCCCCCTTAGAAGTTACTTGGAAACTTGGCTTGGGAAAATGTTTCTACTTTGAGAAAAATAACACAAAATCCTTAAGTGCCAGAGACAGGAAATAAAAACATTAAAGGGGTATAGGCCTCCATAAATCCCAAATCAAGGAGCATCATTTCAGAAAAAGATCAGCATAGTTAAGTCAATCATGAGGGTCAGAAAACATGCAAAATAAACGGGCTATAAAGCAATGAGATTGTATACCACCACTTGTAAGATATACAAGGCATTTATGAGATGTAAGATGTTTATAAGACAGATAACATAGGTATTGTTATCTCTATTTTACGTATGAAGAAAAGGGGCTTGGAGAGGTGAATAATTTGTCTGATAACACACAGCCAGGTAGTGGCAGAGCTGGGATTTTTGTTTTGAAACTATATATTAAAATTAATTAAAATTTATATTTATCAAGGTATTCCATGCACATAGTTAACAAATCAAACAATCCTAAAAAGCACATAATGAAACAAAACAATATTTTCCATATTGCTGCCTGTTTGACTGTATTCCCCAATGCCTTAATTTTATTTATTTTGGCTATCCTATTTTTATTTTTTTTTTAATTTTTTTTCCAACGTTTATTTTATTTTTGGGACAGAGAGAGACAGAGCATGAACGGGGGAGGCGCAGAGAGAGAGGGAGACACAGAATCGGAAACAGGCTCCAGGCTCCGAGCCATCAGCCCAGAGCCCGACGCGGGGCTCGAACTCACGGACTGCGAGATCGTGACCTGGCTGAAGTCGGGCGCTTAACCGACTGCGCCACCCAGGCGCCCCTTGGCTATCCTATTTTTAATATCAAGAGCTTTTTCTTCTGTGGTTGTTCCTATTATTTTTTAAAGCATCCTGTTCTTGTTTCATGGATGCAATACATTAGCTGTCTAAAGATATTAATAATCGCTTTGGGGTTTTGTTTTCTTTCTCTCCCTGCTTTCTCTGAATTTCATTTTTTCCCATTTGCTTTGGCTTCTGTATTTCATATGGGAGTCTTTCACAAAGTGTTCTGTGAGCCTTGGTATCTCTTTGTATGTAATGGTCAGGCATTAAAAGGCTGAGCAGCAGTTGTATGTATGTGTCCTCCACACACATTACATGGGACATAGCTATACTAAAAATTGTTCCTTGTTTATATGAAATTCAAATTTAACTAGGATTCTTGTATTTCTATTTGCTAAATCTGACAACCCTGGATTTATGGCATATGAACTCCTAGCTTCTGGGTGACTGGGCTATGGGTTTTCAATCCAGAGACTTGTTCCATTTCTTTTTATCCCCTGTTCTGGCTCTGTATCTCATTTCTACCTTGTATTTCCCTCAGTCCAGAGTTTGGTCTTTTATTTCTCTAGGGAATAAACCTCTGACTATCTCCAGGGGTAGAGGAGAAAAGCTAACTGACTATGTTGGGGAAGGACTTTGTGGGCTCTGAGTGTTACATAAACTGACTTTCTATCAATCTTCTTGTCTTAAGCTTTGAGAGTCATATCCCCTTTTCATGGCATTTTTTTTTTTTTTTTGTCCCTGGGCTCCTAAGAAAGGTCTTACAGGGCAAACTATCTTGCTTCTCAGAGATGTTTTCCTCTGTGGGTCCTACTTTTCACTTCTGCTCTGCTAAATCAGTTACCATTTGTTGGTCAGTCTTCCGTTTTCCACTTATGTATTGACATCTCTTTTCAGTTGTTGGCGTGCCCTCTCTCTTGCAGATTTATGCTTTTATTTTTCTTTAAATTTATTTGGTGTCATTTCAGTGGAGTTTCAGGAGGGAAAGGACACAGACACTTGGGCTCAGTCTACCAGGTTTAAGCAGAATGCCAGAACGTGATTTAAATCCAGACCAGTATACTTCCAAAGCCTTTACTCTTTCCACAATACCATGCACTAACTCATTGAGCAGAATCCAACAATAAATACCTAGGGCACAGATTGTTAGTTGTCTACTCCAATATCCCTCCTTCCTTTATTAATAATAGAGCCCCTACTTTTCAGCAGGGCACACAGCTACCCAAAGTAAAGACTTCCTTTCCCAACCTTCCTTCAACCTAGGTTTGGCCAAATGACTAAATTCTGACCATTGAAATGTAAGTGAAAGAATTATGTGGAGTTTCCAAAAAACTCTCCTAAAAGATAGCTTGCATCACCTTTTGGCCCCTTTCTTCCTTGTCCCTTCTTTCTTTCTGCTTGTTGAAATGTGGACATTCTGGTTGGAGCTTAAGCAGCTATCTTGGACTAAGGTCAAAACCATGTGCTGAAGGTGGCAGCTCGGAAAGATAAAAAGAGCACTGAGTCCCTGATGACTTCATATAGCTACTCTACCAGCTCCAGATGGTGGATCTCCAGATTTCTTCTACGTGACAGAGATGTAGTCCACTATTGTTTTGGGTTTTGTGCCCCTTACAATTGATTCTAATTCTAACTGACACAATAACAAAGGGCAGTTAAGATTTCAAAGGGAGTGAAACAAGCTTCCTAGAAAAGGTGATGGAGGAAATGGACCTTAAAGGAAAATTCAGCTGATGAGGAAGGGCAGGGACAGGATTTCATGCAGAAACAGTATGATTCGGGCATCAGGGCACTGTGTGAGATGTTTTCAAAGTGTAATATGTAGACCAGTCTGAGTCTGGTTAGAGAAGACAAATCATGTAGGAGAGAAGTGGAAGATAAGAAGGAAAAAAGGTTAGGGGCAGATTATGGAGGGCCTTGAATCTTGAACTAAGCTTCCAGGTTGCTTTGAAAGCAATGAAATCAGTGAAGGTTTTTGAGATGGAAGTTGGAGATATGTGATTAGAATGTGATGGTTAGACTGAAGAATTCCAGGGCCTTCTACATACCTATGCAGGTTATATGGAGATGAGGCTAAGGGAATAAATCTGATTTGAGAAAGAATATGGGTTCAAGAACTCATATGTAGGAACAAGGAGAAAAGAAACCTACAAAGAATCCAGAAAAAGAGGGAGAAAAGCAGCTGGATGTTGGGGAAGAGAAGAGGGTAGAAATTGACAATAAGAAGACTGTAAACCTTCAGAGGTCTCAAAGAAGCTAGACAATATCAGAAATGGGTAAAGGAGGACACTGAATTTGAGGACAAGGAAGTTTCTGGTGACCTGTGAAAGAACAATTTTTGTAGAATATGAAGGTGCACATTGGTCTTCAAAGCGTAAGCAGGTGTTAGGAAAATGTGTTCCATTTATTTATTTTTTTAAATTTTTTAATTTTTCTGTGTTCCATTTATTTTGAAAGGTAGGCAGTAAAAGAAAGGTAAGTTGAAAAGCAATTAAAGCTCTCCATCAGATCAAGTGGAAGAATTTTTTAAGGAAGGGAAACCGGTCTTTAAGAGGAAACTATGCATATTGGTAAAGGAAAAGACTTTCAGGCTGCCAAAAGAGGTGGTTTTGCTCTGGTGGAGCAGGTATCAGGGGAAATAAGAGGGATGGAATTTCTAGCTCAGATGGAGGCTTGAGCTTTGGGAAAAAGGAGGACAGCTCTTCTGAGAAAGAGAGATAGAGTAGAGGCAAGAAATGAAGACTTGGATTTCAAGTCAACCTTTCAGCAACAAATCTTTCATTAGCATCATCAACACCATTTTGGATTTCACCAGAAATAAAATAACCAAAAATAGCAATCTTAGCAAGTGTCTAAAATAAAAATGGCCATCACCTAGTTTCAGAGTCAAAAGTTTCAGACAAAGTTCATTCAACAGAAGACAGCTATAAATCACGTGATGGTAGCCCTGATTTTCTTGTCTTACAGATACCACCTTAATGAAGTTCATTTAGATAAGGGAAAATAACAAAAAGTTTAGCTCATTTACACATTGATACCAGTGGTAGAATAACAGGCGACCCCCAATATGGACTTGAAAATTAATTACAAGATGAAATTTTAGATATCCATTTGTCAAATAGATCAAATGCCAATACCTACTCAAAGTACAGCGTGAGGTCTGTTGCTAATATTGACTGCTTCAAAAGCTGCATAAGGTCACTATATTCCTTGGAGGACAAATTAGCAAAGATGTTGTGACCCTGTAATGAGAAAGTAAAAAGTCACAAAAGACAACATTAAATCTGAGGTTGTCAATTACATGTCTCCTATATTAAAAAAAAAAAAAAAAGTATGGGAACATGATAAAAAACATTTTTTAAAAAAATTAATGAAATTTTGTGCAAATACAAACAGACCCTCTGGAAAACAGCAAAGCCAGAGAGTGCAACCATTTTTGAGGACAACCACCAAGAGGCACTTTATTATTCTTCATTAGTCCTAAATAGAAGACTCTGAAAATGTTTAAACTTGTGTTACTATGGATATGTTTGTGCCAATAACTCCATTTGGCTGCCATTTCCTGTGGAATTGTTGAGCGTAGAAATTGACAAAATATTTGAGAATCTTTCTGACCCTAAAATGAATACTAGTTTCACTAATAAAGACTTAAGTTGGCATTTTGGAAGCACTTGCTATGACAACAAATTACTTCACGGAGGAGAAAGAAACCTTAGACCAGTGGTTTTTAACTGAGAGTGATTTTGGCAATATTTAGAGACTTTTTTATCATCACTCTGGTTGGGCATGCTATCAGCATCTGGTGGGTAGAGGCCTGGGATGCCACTGAATCTCTGACAATGCATAGGCTAGCCCCCACAATGAAGGTATACCGGCCCAGTGTGTCAACACTGCCGAGTTTGAGAAACCCCGAGTTAAATTGTGAAGATACATCCTAATGAAGTGTGTGGTAGATTAAATTCTAAAGTATGTAATTACTGAGTCGCTAGAATGTATAAGATAGTGTTATTGGCATAGTTCTTGGGACTGCTAAGATGACTTTTACCTAGGAAAATTTGTACCTGTATCTCCATACCTTTGGAAAGCACACTTCTTTTCATCAAAATTTGTTTTAGCTACATTAGACAGTTCTGCGATATTTTTAATAAAGTGAAACAATCCTGTAAATTCACTTAACTTGCTTTGAAAGTCAGGGGCTTTTCATTTATCAAGTTTTCTTAGCATGAGTTATGAACTCAAAAACATGTGGCCTGGGAACCGGAGGGGTTTTAAAGTGGGTGCTGAGAGCCAGAAGATAGTATGGAAGGAAGGGGCAGATGACTGCCTGAGAATAAACTATTTTCCACTAAGAGGTAAATTAATTCTTTCAGGGAACCAGAATATCAATTAGCAAATTACTTCTTACCAGCTACCAGATGATAATCTCCTTCCCTGAGTTAATTTATCTCATTGGGTGAACCCTCCACTCCTTCTTTAAGACTAGAGTATATTGGTTCCACCTGGGACCAGGTCCAATATTAATAATAATTTTCAAATGAACTCTTCCAGACCCTTAATTCAGCCATTAAGAAGAAGACAAGTAAGTAAAGGTAGACCAAGCCATAATTCTGCCCAGGTTTCTTCACCTGAGCCTTCCCTCATGGATCAATCATAGGTTGGTGCTCTGGGGCCTGGAAGAAAGTGGTTGGAAGCTGTGGAAAAGTCATCACCTGGATCCAGACAATGGCTAGCATCTTCCAGTGAAAGAAAATAGCTTTATGAGTAAATTACAGTCAAAACTATGTGGAGTTCAGGAGAAAGCTGGTCTAAATTTGAGGATCTTGATCTTTTTGTGAGAGAGTGAGTTTTAACAATTTTAAAGAACGTCTAGTAACTGACACAATTTACAGCTAACAGAGTGATAAAGCTAGCCAGATAGGCTTTGATAAAACAAAACAGTTAATTTGCAGTCAGTGTATTGTTTACATGCAAATTGGCCTTCTACAGTGCCTCAAGGGTTAGGTCCCTGAAACAGATTTGTGTCCCTGAAATACTGCTTCCACTGTCATTTACATTTATGGAGGAGTGGTACTGATGAAAAGAAAACCAAGTGTGGAGGGAGAAAGGTCTGGAGTAGCTTGCCTCAGGCCTCTGCCTCATTTAAAAAGCAGGGTGCATTTTTGCCTTTCTGATGCGCAGAGCAGGGGTGTCTGTGGGATAATAGCCAGACCAGAACCCACACAACAGTTGCTCAGGATGAATTTTTATTGTCATTATTCTGTGTTCTTTACAGAGAACCCCGGAGTGAAGGCCAGCCAATGTGTTTTATTTGTATGAAGACAAATTCTGAGTTAGTGGGGTTTGTTTTTCCCAAGGAGACAAACAAATGACCTTCCAAGAAAACCCTAACATCCTGTTTATAATCCCTGTTATTACAAAGGTGGGAGTTTCTGGGGTCTGAGGTGTAAACTCATCATATTGCCAGTACAGAAAAGACAGTCTGCACCCAAGCTCCAAGCTCCTCCTAACCCTCCCTCCCTCTTCCATAGCGCTCAGCTCAAACATGGCTTCCATAGGAAAATTCCAGAGCTGCAGAGGCTGGGATGATGGTTTCTGTCAGAGTTACTGAGAGGCTAACTCTTGATGTTTCATTCCCAACTGAAAATACATCTCCCTCAGCGGGTTTGCCCTTCCCCAGTTGCATTCGGGTTCCGGAGTGCTGACTCTCCTTTATGGGGTCGAAGAAGGCTTTTGTGATATTGCAAAAGACATGCTTTCTCAAGATAGGCTGGAGGGAAAAAAACCCTCCATATTTAATGATGCTATTCCAGCGAAGCAGGGCCTTAATGATGATAATAATAATAATTAATGGCACAGCTAGAGAACTGACAAATAATGGGGAACAGATGATCCCTTCTTGGCCTCAAAAAAAAAAAAAAAAGTCTGTACGCCTGCAGAAAATTAAACAGATCCTTTCCTGGCAATTTAAAACTCAGATGCCTCAGCCGGAGTCAGTTAGTGGTTTTTCTTTTTCTCTGTGGAGAGCTAAAAGTACACAAGTCCAACTATGTCTAACTCCTGCATTGCGACATGAAGCAAAATAAGGCATATGGCTTTAGCCTTGGGTCTCAAGTTTAGCAGCAATTCTCACTTTCAGACTGCTCCGACCAGCAATTTTGTGTTCTTTTTATCTTTCATAGCTTTCTCAATTGTGCTAATAAAGTGTAATTTTCTCACCCTGTTTCCATTTCTACCATCTTGTAAAATGGCTTCGACTTTTGCAAAATGGGAATGTGGGCCCCTCACTACTTGGGTCAAGTCACTCTGCCAGTGGCTTCTGTGCTCCTTAAAGAAAATAAGCCCATGCTCTGGTGACAAGCTATAAGCCGTCTTTTCTGCTAAGTGAATCTGAAAAGTCTCCTTACCAATCATGAAACCCAAATGAATCAGCTCAGGAAGAACTGAATAAGGTTCTTGGTCAGGCATCTGAAAGGATTTTAAAAAGCCGCCAAGAAAAGCAATAGTTTCGCCTAAAAAAACTTGTCTCTTTTCTCTGTATCTATGTGTGGCACTACAAAGAAAGATGTAGCAAACATTGTTGTATTGGTTTTCTGAGAAGGGGAGCAGAGTATTAGGCCTGTACCTCACTTTGAAGGATCATCACAGCATGGTTAAAATGGTGATGCTCCAGGGTAGCAGAAGTTCCATACAGTTGGGCCAGGGCAGAGCCGCTCCTGAAAGAGGAGAGAAGCGTGAGTGACCAGGGCCCTCCACCCGCCAACGATTCTCCCATGCCATTTCTTTGGATCAGACTGCTTTTCCTGCTTTGGCAAAGGAACACGAGCATATATATTCTTAGGAAACCGGGTACTTCACTCATCCACGAAGTAAACTTTTCGAAAACCTTCTATGTGTTAGGCTAGATCCCGTGGATGATAAAATAGATAAGACACAGGCCATGTGGCTAAGAAATTCAGATGAGATGTGGTCATAAGATAAATAATGCACATAACACAAATACCATAGAAAGTGTTCCATGTCCAATCGAAGTGCTTCAGATGTTCCAAGGACAAAAGACAGAATTTGTAGCTTAGGGGATCAGGGTGCACTTCATGAACTAAACTGTATGTAGCTTCCGAGTGTTCACAACAACTAACTGTCCTATACCCAATGTATTTGCCTTTCCAGGGGAAAAGCCCTTGGGAATATTATGCAGAGTCCATTGAACCACTTTACAGGTAAGGCTGACAAGCTTCTCCTATGATTTCCCAGCTCACAGTCCCACTGTATCTCAGAGTAGAACTCTGGAAAGTTCCCTGGATTTGGAATCAGACCCTAGCTCTTGGAAAAAGCTTTGGACAGTTACTTGGGTGCTTTAAGGCTCAGTTTCTTGGTCTCTAAAATTGTGAAAATGCTATCTACCTCCTGTTATTTATGAAAATGTAATAAAATACTTGGAAGTGCTTATCATAATACATGACATGTAGTAGACTGCAGTCTATTAAATCAATTAAAACCCATATCAATTTCCATTTTAAATACTTGAAAAAGTTACTTTGAATTATCTGTAAATTCTGCTTATGCAGAACCAGTTAATTCTCAATAATATCAGTTCAGCAAAGTGTTCATTGGACATGTTCAAGTGTGTTCATTTCCAGCTCTTGTGGAAGGATTAGGATGTAGAGCATCTTAAGAGTCCAGAGAGATCCAGAGAATCCTATGGTGTAAAGGGCAATCACGGCAATCAGAGTCCCTGTGTTCTTTCCTGCTCATTCCAGGGAGTTTGGACATCAAAAGGGCAATTTGGCCTTTTCTTGGAAATGCCGGAGACTGACAGCTCACAGTCTGCACTGCTAATGAGAGGAGCCAAGAACTGCATATACGTGCAACGTGAAAGATTTTGGTCCTAAGCTGCCCTCCATCTCCACTGTGAAGCAGCCCAAGATCACAGCCAGATCAGGGGCCCAGGGGCCCATAATCTTGGAGAGACTCAGAGCTGACAACATGCTGGAGAAACACAGGGTTAGGTTCCATCGGTATCATCATGAATAGAGTTGCTAAGGGGGAGGGTGGGAACTACATTTTAATCAGGTATGTGTTGTTTCTTTAAATCTTACCTTCATCTATACCATTTAATAAGTGCAAAATTGTTAGGCTAATCTTAGTAACCAGTGATCAATTAATATTTAATTTTAGTTAACTATTTTCTATCAGAGTTCCTTTTTATGAAAATACATTTTTCAAAATGCACACTGGGTGCCTTTGTTTTGGATTTTGAAATTCCAGGATGTTTTATGTGCATATCATAGCTGATTGCCTGGCATGGAATAGGTGCTTAAAAAAATATTAGCTACTTGGTGGGGCGCCTGGGTGGCTCAGTCAGTTAGGCATCTGACTTGGGCTCTGGTCATGAACTCATGGTTAGTGATTTTGAATCCTGCATCAGGTTCACTGCTGTCAGCGCAGAGCCACTTTGGGATCCTCTGTCCCCCCTCCTTTTTTTCTGCCCCTCCCCCACTCTCTCTCAAAAATAAATAATAAATTTAAAAAATATTAGCTGCTTGGCTAATAAGCTTACAGTAGTATGGCTAGAGATTATAGTTCAAACTTGAAGGTTGGCAGCAAAAAGTATGTTACCATATATATATATACATATATATATGGTATATATATATATATAATATATACAAATTGTATATATATATGTGTGTGTATATATATATACAAATTGTCGATACATATATATATCCAAATTGTGGATATCCATATTATATATCTGAATTTCATGAGCACAGGAATATTTATACATGTGATTGTTTATGAAGCTCATTGTTGATTAGGTCATCCGACATACTGAAGATTTTCATTTGTGGACAGGTGACACACCGAGAAGAGACTTATTAAAAAGAAAAGTCAAAGTGAAAATTCTTTCTGTACAGGCACTTTGCTCAGGCACCAAGAAATAAATGTGCAAAAACGTGCATAAGTTCTCCAGATATGGCTTATGGGAAAGTTTTAAAAGGAAAACTATGAAAGGTAATTAGGAAATTGAGAATTGCTGGGAGGTGGTGAGGAATGGGATTAGGCTGTCATGGCAGATTAATGTGCCCCAGGATTTCACTTCTGGGACCTGGCCGAAAGCGACAAGATGGGTTTTCATTCCCAATAAATGAGTATAAGAGATTATGCTAGAAATGAATAGAAGAAGTCTCCTAGGAGAATATACTACAAAGCTGCTTGGTACTGATATTTAATCATCGGGGGCAGCTGTAATGGAGACAGGGGGGATGAGTGGGAAATGCTGTCCCTGGAGAAAACGGGAGAGAGGTGTTCACAGAGCAATTGCTAAGCATGGTGGTATGGTGGCCCTCTCTACCTATTGATCATTCATTGCACGTGCTCCAATACTTAAAAATTAAGAATAAAATATGAAAATGCAAAGGTTCACTCATCAGAAAGGCTAAGAGAATAAATCATATTGTGCTATAACTAAAGTCACAACTTTTTATTATAGAGGCATTTTGCATTTTATATAGTAATTTGTCCCTTGCTAAATGTCTCTTGTTTCTTTATAGCCTTATATATGAATAAAAGGTACTGTATGCTTTGCCACGTAATAACTGGTGCATTTAAATCTATTTCCAAATCACTTGAAAGGTTGGAATTATACTGTGACTACTTTTAGGGAAGGGACTGTTTGTTATGCTTCTTTATTTCTCCCACAATGCCTAGCACAGAGCCTTGCACAAAAACAGCACTCAATGATTGTGGAATAACAAAGGAAATAAGGACTAGATTTCTTCCTATGGCTTTTCTAAACAATGGCACGCTTACTGAATAAGTGTTATTCTAATCAATAAAAAGGTAACCCCTTCACCATGATTTAAAAGGTCTCTTTCAGTATTCGCTGTTGGAGGACATTTTAACAAGAGGGTGGGTGGTGGTGATGTTTGGTATCCTAAGTTCAAAAGGAACTCTCTTAGGTAGAAGCAGGGCTGATAGACATCCCGTGAGCTGGTTAAGTTGTGTACGGGATTAATCGTCTTGAGGAAACATGTCAGACTGTCTTGGAACAGTAGATTTTGATCATGTGGTATAAGGATGCAAAAAAGAAAAACCAAAAACCCAAAACCCCCGAACTTTGAATTCTAATATCAGCAATCAGCAACTTAACCCTTATCTCATATGTTGAAAGTTGTTTAATCTTACACCAGTCACTTGAGACTTGGGAACTGTGGTGTTCCCACATAGACATGGGGTGTCTATCCGATCAGATGGGGCCCCCAGATGTGGGGGGATGATAGGTGGAAGCCAATGGTGTTGGTGGTGAAAGAATTCACCTGAGGCTGAAGAAGGGATAGAAGTTTATTGGATACACTGCAAGACAGCAGAGGGAGAGGCTGTCTGCAAGGAGGCAGTGGGTGGGGGCTGTTTTTAAAGGGGGAAGATGAGGAAGTATGGTAAAGTATGGAATTGTCCCTTTTTTGGCAACGGTGCCTGGTTGTAAGTAGCCCATTGGTCAGTTAGGATATTTGCAGGTGGGTCGATCACCTGATGGGATGGTTTGCATTCAGCCAGGTGGTCACTATGGGCACTTCCTACACTCCATTGCTCAAGCCTGTTTGCCTAAAAGTGGCCTCTACAGGGACCCCCCAGTTTCCATTTTTGTAAAGTTAAGGTGTTGAAAAATATGACTACCAAGGTCTAGTTCATTTCTAGGATTTTTTATGGCTCTGTGTCTTGATTTGCTGGATGTCAAAATATATTGTAGTTTTCCAGAGCTCACATATATGGCAAGTCAGCTAATAACCTGGAAGCTTAAAGGCCCCAAATAAATAATACAAAGTCATGAAAGGGAATATGATGCGGTGGTTAAGCAATGGCTTTTGGAATCAGATAGCCTGGGTCCAAACACTGTTGTGCCACATTCTGGATGCATGAATCTGGGCAAGTTACTTCCCTGAGGCTCAGGCCCTCCTGGTTAAAAGGAGACAAAGATATCTACCCTACAAGTATGTTGGTGAGCACTGGAGGTAGGATACAACAAGTACATTGTAGTACTTCTCATTGTCTCAGGCACTGTCAGTTGCAAAAAACAGAAATCAATTAGAAGCAGCTTCATTAAAGAGGTTGATTAAATGATAAAAGGAACTTTGAGGGAACCCAGTTATCACAAGTGTGGCTGGGTCTCCTGGCAATGGAGTAGAGATGTGGAAAGCCAGGGATCAAGTCTGCTTTTTCTGTCTCCAGGGTTGTATAACCTTTTTTTTCTGTTTCTCTATGAATATTTACTTTCTTCTTCTCTTCTCTCTGCAGACTCACTTTCTTGTTTCTCTTATCTATTTCTGTCATCACGGCTTTCCCAAAATGGCAGCCTACAGCTCCCAAGTCTCTGTGATCCACAGCTTGGATCTCAACAGATAACTGAGTCAGTATCATGGTAATCCAACTCTGAATTCCTGGTATATGAAATATGATTAGCTGGTTTTAATCGGGTGTATATTCTTGGTCCAAAGACCTGAGAGGTCAATTAGCAAAAAGGGCCGCCTTTCTCAGGGTGACACACAGGGTCTCTCTGGAAGGGGATGTTGGTATCTGAGAACAAGTATTGTGCACTTGACTCTTAAAAGAACCCACAAGGTGCTCAGTCTGGCTTTATGAACATCATTCTAACACATTTATCTCCTCTTTATGCATAAGTGGCAGAAAGGTAGGGGGCTGGAGACAGGGGGCTAAAGGAAGAGACATTGACTATGATGGTACCTCAGAGATAAAACCCAGGGGGTGATGCTTTTGGAGGAGTTTGGGGCAAGAAGGAGAAGAAGGGCATTCCAGGATAGATAAGCAGCATACCCGGGAGCAGAGAGAGGTGAACTAACATGACCCCATTGAGGACACCAATAGCCCCTGTGTCTGGGACACTGATGCATTGATGGGGGGTGGGGGTGGGAGGAGTGGGTGCTGGGCCAGGAAAATGGGCAGGAGCCCAACTGAAAAGGGCCTTCAGGGGGGCTAAACCAAGTAATTTGAACATTATCCTGAAAGTCACAGGAGGCCAGTGAATGTTTTTTAAGCAGGAGAGTGACTTAGTCAGCTTTGTGAATTACAAAGATTATTCTTGAGTGCCAAGGGGGTAGGGGGGAGACTGGAGGAGGGAATATGGGTTGCTTGCTGTAGCAACCCAGGATGGGTGCAAAGAAGCAGTAGTTACCCAACAATGCAGATATGTCAGTTTTGGGGTGCTAAGGAGAGAATCTGGGTGACTGGTGGGTTTCTGGCCCTGCTATTCACTAGGATAGAGGAAAAGAGAGACGTGTAGAGGCAAAGACTGAGACTGAGATGGCTGTGGGGCTCCAATAGGAAGACAGAGTTCCTGGAAGGAGGGAGTGACAAAATGTGGCTCATGGCAAGAAATGTCAAGAAAGAAGGCCAAAAAGAGTGCCCATCAGCTTTGGGAACAGGGGCCATTGGTGGGCTCCCCTGGGAAGGTGGAACTGGACGGCCATGTAGGAGGCGGGGGTTGAGGAAGTGAAGACAACAACAGACAACCCTCCAAGAAGACTGACTGGAAAGTAAGGGAGAGAGAGAGAGAACCGAAGCCGGAGGGAGAAGTAGGGTTGGAGGCAGGCTTCTTCAAGATGGTGGAGAATTGCTCACATTAACAGGATGCTGAGCACTAGTAGGAATGGAAAAGAGACACAAGGCAGAGGGAGGAAGATTGATGGAGCAGGGTCCCACGGGAGGGGGCAAGGAAAGCCCCCAAAGCTGAGGTGGAGGGATTAGTCTCAGACAGGAGACGGCACAGCCCTTTGGTTGAGATAGGACAGAAGGGTGAAAGGATGGGGCCAGACAGATAAGTTTCTACATGGCAGGGGAGGAAATTGAGGGAGGGCTCAATTGATGGCCTCAATTTTCTCGGTGAAGGAGGAGGCAAGGTGATCTGCTGAGTGGTGTGGGGGCAGTGGTAGACAGGAGGTGGTTTAGGAAGGGAGAACAGTTTGGTCCACATAACTGCTAAAAGCAAGCGGGGACGGAGCTGGCTAGGGACACAGAAAGATCTGTGGGGAGTATAGAGCCTCCAGCTGAGCTGGGACAATACATATTTGGCATATCTCAGACTCTCGCAATTGTGACATTTTCTCCCAAAGCCTGTAAAAGTCTAGGTAGAGTAGCAAGAAACTGAATTGTTTGATTGTATTGGTGCCGAGCTTTTGCACAGTGGATGTCACAGAAGGTTAAGAGGGTCAAGAAATGGTAGGATATTGAGAAAAGAGGGTTAAAGTGAGGGGTTATAATAGGATCCAGGATGCAGAGAGAAGTTTATAAAATCAAAATTCATTTGATTGGGAGGATATGCAAAGAGCCAAGAGTCCAAGGCCCCAATAGGTCAATGTTTGGGGAACAAAGGGAGTGATGCTGTTGACGCACAGTGGGCTATTGATGTTCACGTTATGGAGGCAGACCTGTTCGGGGGCTTGGAAATCAGTTACCTGACAGTTAATCTTACCTCTTTGCTGAAGCCTTTCTTAACTTCTCCATCCCCAAACGTTTTGCTCCAGCCCCTGAACCCACATGTCATTTTGTTTGCAAACAGATAGTAAAACGAACACTAAAACTGGACCTTCAATATAAGTCAGGAGATTGGGGTTTTGGTCTTATTTCCAAATAAGACCACAGTGTGAGCCACCAAGTAACGGCTGGTTATTTCGACCAGTCCAACTTGCTTAGGGGCACATTATTCTGTCTGTGCACATTAGGTGCTCACACGTTCCCAGGATTGATGCAATTCCTTTGTTTGCTTCCCACCTTTCTGTGGGCGGAGGGATGGGAACAGCAGAGACCGTATTCCTGCGTTGCTTTAGTTCACTGCAGTTTATACAACACCCACCATTAAAGAACCTGCAAGAGAGTCTATTGGGAGAAGAAACATATTCTGCTTCATAAAATTTCTGAAGGCCACTTTTATTTTAATAGTCTCAAAACCTGATTTTGAGAGTAGCAAGTCCAAGATGCTTATAATGCCATGAAGGCAAATACTCCGGAAGGAAAAAAAAAAATAGGCCTTTTAAAATCTGAGCTTTGTTATCTGACTGAGGTCAACAGAGACAGACCAAATCAACAAGCATGACATGAAGGGCAAATTTGCAATTAAAAGAAGAATAGGGAATTATAAAGATGGATGAGCCCCATGACATGCACACCCAAGCCTGCATGGCCTTGGCCTCGGATGCCAGAAATTAATGCTTTACTCTTTAGCACTCGTCACCTTTGGCTCTGAACAGAAAGGCAAATGCATTAAAATAACAACAATTAGAACACTTACTTAGCTTGGAAGGCATTGTTGGTTCCCCTGTGGTCGAGGTCATGACACAGGCATCCCACAATCACCGCTAAAATTTCCACCTCGGTCAGAATCTCTTGAAACCCTGCGGTCTGGGAAGAAGGGGAAATGGCCACAGTCACTGCTCAGGGCAGGGAGAATGGATAAGGTTCGTCTGCTGAGCAACAATCAGCTGTTTCCATACTCACATCATTTAAGGAAATGATTAACTGCCACCCCCCCTTTGACGGCAGTCAGTTGGGTGGTCAGTTGCACAGCCTAAGGTCCCCACAGTGATGGATTAGCTGGCTGTCATGGTGGCCCACACTGGAACACCAGGACAAAGTTCAGATTATTTTGTTCCCTTTTTAGAGAGGAGATTGCACTATCCAGATACAGTGACAGTTTGGCAGAGGCCCAGAGCAAAATGTGTTTTGTGATTCTACATTGCAGTGAGGAGTGTCTAGTGGTAGGAGGAGAAAGGGGGGCTGTGAATTTAGAAGCGGATGCTATACCCACCAGCTGCTACTTAAATGAGGGCAGGCAAAAGAGAACACCTTAAAAAAAATATATATATATATACACACATATATATATTTATTTAAAGAAGCAACTTAAAAGTACTCAAATTGTTACATGATAGTATTCTAGAAGTTGTCTTATGAATATCTTAATTCATATTAGCTTGAAGGACAGATTAAATTTATACAGATAATAAGGCAGGTTATATCTTGAAAACTAGGGTTTGGGAGAGGATTTGGCAACCCACGTTGAGAATCAGGTAGAGTATCTTATTACACAGAATCCTTTTTTTTTTTTTAATTTATTTATTTTTGAGAGGGAGAGAGGAGAGAGAGGGAGAACCTGTGAAGGAGCAGGGGAGGGGCAGAGAGAGAAAATCGCAAGAAGGCACTGTGCTGTCAGCTTGAACTCACGAACCGTGAGAACATGACCTGAGCCGAAATCAAGAGTCCGACACTTAACTGACTGAGCCACCCAGGTGACCCTAGAATCCGTTTTTATTGGCCTCTGGTAGCATGCTTATGAAATGCCTAGGCTCAGTGTGAGATATTTGGGGAGTAGTGGGATATAATTACAGAACCAGGATTCTTTGGTTCCTGCTGTCCTTTGGTTAGTTTGGAAGAGACAGTAAGCCTCTGGAAACACAAATCTATGCATTTTCTTGACCCAAAGCCTTTATGTCTTCCCCCTTGTACTTAGTTAAGTCTCCCATTTCATTATTCATTAAAATCTTTATCAGAGGGCAAGAGGAAGGGAAAGTAGGGTTCAAACTGCTTCCTTTCTCATGTATATTTTTTCCCCAAACTCAGGACCACTAGATAGTATCTCTTCTCTTAGAGCAATAAAAACTTTGTTTTTTAATTAATTATGATTTTATTGCAGAAATAACTGAATAAGTTTCTGTGTTGACAGTTTTATTTTTAAAAATTAAGTTGGGTTCTCTGCTACATTCAGAAATACACATAATTTCACTAGCATAGCAAATAGGAATGTTAGTAAATTGTTGATGGGGGGAATGAAGTAGTCCATATCAAAGCTGTGTGTGCCCCTTCATTTTAAAATTTGGAGTTGGCTGTTGGTTTTAAGTTAATTTTATTTTACTTTAATGTATTCCCTGAATAGTTAAAAAAAAATAAAATCGTAGTAAGAGACTTAGGATCAAAAACAGTAGTCCCTCATCCTTCCCCTTTCCTGATTCCCAAAGGCACCTAATCTTTTCCTAATTTGGTTAATTATTTTCTACCATATTTCTATATAGTATGTACATATTATTAGCACTTGGTTAGTCATTAAGTGCCTATACAGTCCTTCCTATGTGCCGACACTCTCCTAAGAACTCTACAACTGTTTAACTGACTTAATTTGCATCACAGCCCTGTGAGGTAGAAACCACAGTTATCCCCAGGTAAGAAGAAACAGAGGCACAGAGAAGCTATGTAATGTGCCTAGGGACTTAGAGCTAGTACGTGGCAGAGGCGGGCCAACTCCCAGCATACAGGTGCCAGAGTTTGCTCTTAAACACTGATGTCTTGTGATGGGTGAGAATTATCTTCACACGTACTCTCTTCCCTCCCCCACACTCACAATGCAATCCAGATACAGCGCTTTCCTGATCTGCACTCTATTCATAGACACTGCTGAGCCAACTAGGATCTGGGGCTTGTTTCCCTTCTGATGTGAATGTTTTTATTTCCTGGAGTGAAGATTTCTTTGAACATCTGAGTCTTCTCACATCCTACACAGCTCTCCAAAGGGGCACACCATTTCTTAGATGCCTTCCCGTCCTGGGGACACCCTGTGGTGGCCTGGTCCTGCTCTGTGGTCTGGATTCTCTGTCTGCTGTCAGCTTTTCTCTCCCAGGGTTGACCTCCAGGCTCTTGCATCCCACATCTCTGTCCTTCATTTCCCCCCTCATTTCGCAGGAGCACATCTGCCAGTGGCGTCGTGAGAAAGGGTATTAACTTTTCAACACTGGGGGAGTGAATTAACTTTTGAGGCTTTGCAGGACTGAAAATGTCTTCATTCAGTTGTTAGCCTCCCCTACAATTCTGGGTTGCAACATTTCCACTCAGAATGTTGAAAGACTGCTCTATGTTTTCTAACTTCTGAAGCCGTTTCTGAGAAGTATATGCAGTTCTTATTCCTAACACTGTATGCTATTTGATTTCCTCTCTCTTTGAATCCTCTCTCTATCCCTAGGGTTTGGCAATTTCTCAAAGATATGCTTGGTTTGGGACTTTTCCCCCATCATTTGGCTTGGTAAGGCTTTTCCAATATGGAGGCTCAGTTTCTTCAGTACAATATTTTTGTAATCTTTCTAAAAAATAGTTTTCTTTTTACTGTTGTGCCCTCTTGAATGGAACTCCAATTGAATATTGGACTTCCTGTATTGATTCTTTTATTTTCTTGCCTCTTCTTTCCCACATTTCCCCCCTCTTTCCAGGAATAATAATATTTTTAATTTGTAAGCATTTTCTTACCTGTTGCTCCTTTTCTCATAGCATGCTATTCTTTTCTCATTACAGTCTTTTATCTCTTTGAAGATAATTATAATTCCTCTGAAATTCTCTTCTGCTCCTTGTTACCTGTTTCCTCTAAACTCCTTTTCCTCTCTGTTTGCTGGTTTCCCTCAAACACCTGATATCCTTGAGTGTCTACTCATCTAAAAGTATTATAATGTTTGCCACACACCAGTGTTTGGGGGTGGTGTCTGTAGATTTCTGGGCCTTCCCACAAGGTGAGCAGATGGCCAGCTGGTCTTTTGTTGGGAGCCCCAAATGTCAGTATCTAAACTCCTGTTCTGTGGACTTCCCAATCTCTTGCTTGGAAACGGTGTAAACATGGATGTTGACATTATGAGAAAAGAGACTTGTATCTTCTCATCTTTGAGAATGTAGACTTTCACATAATTCTCTCATTTTTGGGATGTACTTCACCTTAACTTTTCTTTTGCTGGTGTCCCCAAGTCTGGGGTTTAGTTTCTGCAGCAAATATTCTATCTCCTGCATAGGTGAGAAGAGTAGGCCTCTGATTATATGGAGAAGGGGTGGGGACTTAGTGTTTTCATCACCCCCTCCCTCCACTTCACCCCATTTTTGTGTTCTCTAATGCCTCTGGATCCTAAACCTTGATAGGTTCTGGAGGGGATGTTTCTCACGTGTACCACTTCCTCCATCCCCTCACCCCAAAGGCACTTGGGTTAGATCTTCCTTTTCTCTACTAAACTATGAACATCCTCCCTCCATTTTCTGCCCTCATACATTATGGTTCCATGAAAGGTGGGATGTGTATCCATTTCTTGTTCCCTTCCTATTTTGGTGTGATTTTGAAGGGAAAAGGGATATAAAGGTCTTTGTCTGTCATCTTTCATATATCCTGAAACTATAAGTCAGTTTTGCTGGGTTTGGATCTTGCTAATAATAAGTCCTGAAAGTCTATCAAATATGAAATAATTATCCACAATACTGTGGAAATCAGTGCTGTAAACAACAGAACTGCACTAAAATTTAGAGAGGTTTTGCCTGTGAAAATGTTATTGATTAGAATGAGCTGATGAATTAGAACAGTAAGAATAGGGATAATGTTAAAATAAGGTAATTAGATTAGATATTTAATTGGGAGTTGAAACCAAATGCCTCTAATAGGCTCCAGATCAAAACCCTGAGTCATTTTTAAGCCATCAGTTATCACCCATTATATAAAATGATGGGATATATTTTACTGTGATTTTCTATGCAGCCACTTTCCTCCCCGCCCCTTCCTAGGAATCCACATTGAGCTGTTAAACTATTTGGATCATGGATACTTCTGAGAATTTGATAAAAGTCATGGCCCCTCTTCCCAGAAATTATTCTATAATGTTATGGTATTCAAAGACCATGAAACCCAACTCTAGATCATCAGAGTAAAGAATCCCTGAAGTACAGCACACACACAGTCACACAGAACATATTTACCTCTCTCAACTGTGATACCTGAGTTACTGAAGCAGCACCTATCTCTTGACTGTGATTTAAAGCTGCCTGGTAAATGGTTTCTCGAGAATCATCAGGCTTGAAACGTGTCCACCTGCCAGTAAATGTCCGTTTGCCCCTCCCCCACCCCATCCATCTTCCTTCAAACCGTCTTCATTCAGACCTACACTTACCCATGTCGAGGAGAAAAAGTCAACTGCCTGCTGAGGACGATATACTATCAAAAGAACACAGTGGCAGTGGAAAGTATTATTTAATGTATTTATCCCATGCCTGACTCTATTTTATTCTTTTATTTTCAAATACAATGATATCTTTTCTCTTCCTGACCCAATAATTCTGGGTTTTATTGACCTTTAAATTAATCTATTTTCTTACCTATATTTCTTCACAGTCCATATAAAAACTGTAAGGCAATGGGTACAATACATCTAAGTAAAGTGACGGTCAATTCATATAGACTTAGTTCTCACATCACCCTTTCCAGAAAAGTCTGTGGCTACTCTCTGAGCAGGCTTCCAATAATAGTCCTCTCTTGGCTTAAAACGTATGCTGAGATAATCCTGCTTCTGGCCACCAAAGCATATAATCAATGGGATCCAAAGAACCCAGAAAAT